AGGAGGAGGAGGAAGAGGTTAGGGGTGACGGGGCAGTAGAGTAGTCAGAGGTATTTGCCGGCGGAGATGACTAGGAAGGTGCGGACGGGGGGACGATGGTTAGTGCAGTTCGAGGGGCGCAGTTGATCCTCAGATGTCCAACAAGTCTGATGCGAGCCCGGAATGTTCGTTGGCATCGAGAACACGTTGGGAGCGGTTGTGCGGCGGCGTTGCGTACTGAGCGAAGTTGGGACTTGCGGGCTTCGCGTTTAGCTTTGGCGGCAGCGACGCGGTTGGCTTCGTAGATCACAGCGCCTGTCTTCACTGTTCTCCTCCAGGTCGGTCGATCGAGTGCGAGCTCTTCCGAGTTGGCCGTGTTGATTTGCAGATGTTTCAGGGAGGACTTCAGGGTATCCCTGTAACGGCGAATTTTGCCTCCTTTACGGTGAGAACCCCTCGTGACGTCTCCGTAGAAGAGTCATTTGTGTAGTCGCTCGTCGTCCATGTGCACCAGGTGGCCGCTCCAGCGCAGCTGCATTTGTCTCAGCATGGTGCAGATGCTGAGGATTCCCGTCCGTTCCAGCACATCAGTGTCGGGGATGCGGTCCTGCCAGTTCAGCCTCAGGATGTGACGAAGCCAACTGAGGTGGAAGTGGTTCAGTCGGCGTGCCTGCTTTGTGTACACCGTCCAAGTCTCCGCTCCGTACAGCAGCTTCGGCAGTATGACGGCCTTGTACATCTTCAGCTTCGTGCTCAGTTGGAGACCATGACGATTCCAAACTGTGCTTTGGAGGTGGCCGAAGGCTTGACTGGCTTTCGGGATCCTGTTGGCGACTTCGTCATCAATTTTGGTGTTGCGGGAGAGGGTACTGCTCAGGTACGGGAAGTTCTCCACCACTTGCCGTTGGGTCCCATTCACACTGATTTGCGGTTCTTTGAGGGGTGTGGCCGAGTTGGGTGGCGGTTGCTGCATCACCACCGTCTTCTGCGTGTTGATAATCAGATCGAAGTTCTCGCAGGCGGCGGAGAACAGGTCCATGCTCCGTTGCATCTCCTCTTCCGAGGTGGTGTTTAGGGTGCAGTCGTCGGCGAGGAGAAGTTCGCGAACGGTGGTTGTGGATACGCGCGATTGGAAGTGCATCCGACGCTGATTCAGGAGCTGACCGTCCGTCCTGTAGGCGATGCGGATCCGGGGACGTTCGTCGCGGTAGGCGACCATCAGCATGGCAGAAACATAAGACTGAAGAGGGTAGGCATCAGCACGCATCCCTACTTCACTCCGTTGGTCACTGCGAATGCCTCTGAGACAGCTCCGTTGTCCGTGACTCGCGCCATCATACCGTCGTGCAGCTGACGCACCATCTGAGTTAATCGCTCCGGACAGCCGAATTTCTGCATGATCTTCCACAGTCCTTCACGATTCACCGTGTCGAGGGCTTTCGTCAGGTCAACGAAGGTAGAGTACAGGTGGGTCCGCATCTCCTGACACTTCTCCTGAAGTTGACGGGCTGCGAAGATCACATCCGTGGTCCCACGATGACGACGGAAGTCGCATTGGCTTTCCGGCAGAAGGCCCTTTTCCAGATGATTATTGAGGCGGTGAGAAGGATGCGAGCGAAGATCTTCCCGGCGATGTTTAGCAAGGAGATGCCGCGGTGATTGTCGAGGACTTGGCGATTCCCTTTGCGCTTGTAGAGATGCACGATGGTTGCGTCTTTGAAATCTTGCGGGACTTCACCTTGACGCCACATTTCTTGGAAGAGCGCAGTCAGGTGATCCATCAGTTGGGGACCGCCCTGCTTGTAGACCTCAACAGGGATTGCGTCCGATCCGGGTGCTTTCCCGCTGGAGAGCTGCTGCACGGCCCTGATGGTCTCCTGGAGAGATGGCGGGAGGTCGAGGTCCACATTCGTCTCCACTTGCGGCAAACGCTCGATGGCGGCGTCGGAGATGACGGAGGGGCGGTTGAGGACGCCTCGAAAATGCTCGGCCCATCGCTGTAGGATTTGCGTCTTCTCAGTCAGGAGAGTGTTGCCGTCAGCGCTGAGGAGAGGAGCAGTGCCCTTTGTCAGCGGACCGTAGACAGCTTTGATCGCAGAGAAGAAGTTCTTCCACTCATTACGGTCCGCGTACCCTTGGATCTCCTCAGCTTTGCGAGCAGTCCAGGCGTCCTGCATCTCGCGCAGTCGTTGCTGGAGTTGGCGGCGACTGCAGTAGAAAGCAGCTTTGGTATCCTCAGTGGGGTTATCTACGTAGGCTTTGTGAAAGCGGTTCTTCTCAGCAAGCATATTTCTTATTGCGGCGCCGTTGTCGTCGAACCAGTCCTGGTGTTGGCGGGTAGCGCGACCGAGGACGGCGAGCGCCGTAGACTGGACCGTGTCTCGCTGTTGACACCAGCGGTTTTCCACGGAGACGTTCTCGGCAATGGTGGCGTCGTCAGCGGCAGCGATAGGAAGGTTGTCTAGCCGTTGAGCTAGCTCATTGCTGAAATGGAGATAGTGAGCGGGCAAAGAAAACAAGGCAATATTCAGCTTACCTGGGGATCGCGTTTCTTGTGGTCCCCTGTGAGGCTGTAGGCGAATACGCATCTTAGAGATTACGAGGCGATAATCGGTCCACTCGTCAGCACCCGCGATCGCTTTTGTCACCAGCACGTCCCGTTGGTCTCGCCTCCTGACGAGGACATAATCCAGCAGGTGCCACTGGCGCGATCGAGGATGCCTCCAGGTGGCCACCTCTCGCTCCGGCAGACAGAAGAACGCATTCGTCAGGATAAGGCGGTGTTCTGCGCAGGTGCGGAGGAGCAGCAGGCCGTTGTCGTTGCAGCCACGGAGAATATGGGGACCCAGCACACCTCTCCAGGCAGCATGGTCTGTGCCGAAGCGGGCGTTGAAGACACCAACAACAATCAACTTGTCCTCCTTCGACACAGTCGCCAAGAGGGCGTGCAGGTCATCGTAGAATTTGTCTCTTGCGGCGGCGTCGGGGCTGCTCATTGGCGGAGCGTAGGCGCTGATGATGGTGGCGAATTTGCCTCCACGCCGGAGAGGTAGACTGAGGCTCATCAGGCGATCGTTGATTCCCTGCGGCAGGCTGGGCAGTCGTCCCACGATGTCGTTCCGAATGACGAAGGCGACACACGCGTCTCGTTGCTCTGCCTTAGGTTGCCTACTCCAGAAGAACGTGTAGCCGGCACCCACCATCTCCGGTTGGCCTTGGTCAGAGAATCTGGTCTCGCTGAGTGCGGTGATGTCCACCTTGTAGCGCGCCAGTTCCCGGGCCACTAGCGCTGTCCTCCGTTCCGGTCGGTTGCTCCTCGGATTGTCTTAAAGGGAACGAACATTCCAGACTGCCAGAGTGAGCGAACTCACCCTGCCAGTCTGGGGACACTGAGTGGGACGACGGGAAGGAGGTGGAGAAGAATAAGCAGAAGAATAGACAGAGGAAGAGTAGGAAGAGGTAGGATTAGGAGAATGAGTATGGCTGTTGTTGTTGTTGTTGTTTCGATTGTGATTGTTTTGACTATGTTTAGGACATCTGCGGCCATGGTTAGCCTGCAGACGGCGTGGTGCCCAGCACTTTTTTAGGCCACCTTTTCTAGGCCCTTACCCTTTTTGGGGACAGGCAGTGCCCCCTTGAATCGGGCTGCCTGTGTGCCTGGTTGGCGCAACCGAATCTCACTATGGAGCCACGACTTTATATTAGTAGTGGAGAACGACCGTATTTGCTGAAGGTCCGCGGTCTCCGTCGGCGTAGGTGGGCGCCTCTCAGCGAAGACGATGCGGAAACCTATCCCGGCAGCAGCTGTCCAACGGCGTACTGGGCAGAGCCTCGTCTCAGCGACGCCGGCGCAACGCATCATCCGACCAAACATATAGCGGAGTCCGCAGTACACTTTGCGCGCGGCACCAGCGCACAGCGCTCTCACCTGTTTAGCCCGCCGGTCGAGGCGGTTGCCCGAGGTGTGGCCGTTGAGCAGATTCCAGCTACGTGGAGTTACAGGTGAGAGTTGGGTGCCAGTAGATGGACGCTAGGCGTAGCCTCACCTGCAAGCAAGTGAGCGACCACTACGACCATCACGTGAACCCACCTCTGGACACCCCTACACCCCACATACACACATGCACAAATACATACACACATACATCCATACTTACGTACAGTGGTACCCTTAGATACTGCCTTTGGATCTTTGATTTAAGTCGATTGTTCACACACTGGAATAAAATCTTGGAAGGCCGTTCATTTTCCGGGTAATTTTTGAATATAGTCCCTCTTTACACGGCAAATCTATTTTCCGACCGCATTTCTTTGGTGGGGGAATTCGTCAATTTGTTCTGGCAACCAAGTTTCCCTGGATATATTCGGTTTCCATTTCTCCTCCTTAACTGCCTGTTAAGATCACTTGTGAACCGAGCAGGGCAGTTTGTCGTTTTTAGCAAATTCCCTGAAAAACAGGGTCGAATCAGTTCTAACGAAATCATCTTAAACGATCTTCAGTCGTCCTACGAATCTCCTTTGTGCAGTGTCAATCCACGGACATCAATTCGTTCTTCATCATTTTAACTCCTGTCTTTCATTTATTTCCTTGGCCTCTCCTTGTATTTTGGCAGTGAAAATATAGCGAGTAATCCTACAGTATCTTTTTATGGTCATTCTTATCGAGTGGTGCACTGCAATGCGCTTAACCAATGTAAGAGAAGTCCTCCATGAAAACAAAGTCCAAGAAATTTGTTTTTTGGTTTCCTCTCTAAATCCCGTTGGTGTAATTACATACTGTGCAAGAGGGAAGTCCAGTGTGAGGTTAATTGACTTACAGCTGAAGGAAGTTGACGCATCGCCAACCCTGAGATTTTCCCAGTCTATTGCAGATGCGCTTAAGCTTGTAGCAATAAAAACCGCTTCGCGGCTAGTTACTTTCCTGACCATTTTAAAAAGGGTCCATCAGCTGGAGTCAGAAGGTTTTGTCATTTGCGAAACGTAAGAAATTCTATGCTTTGTGGATCAATCTTCTTTGTTTTTATTCAGACGAATTCGGATCCAAGGAGGGGTTTACGCTGGTTCAGCTGCCAAAATTCCTGCAATTGCGTGTACGACTGCATTGCCATCCTATCTGTTTTAACGCTCTCTGCGAAGGAGATGGTATCCTTGTATCAGAATCTCGGTATGAAAGACTTATGCTTTGATCCATATTTTCGTTATGGCTACAACGTCGGTGTTTCTCTAGGACACCAGCGCCTAGTGTACGGAAATTTTCAAAACAAGACTTTCAGTGTTAACGTACAAGAATCTGGTATACAGTTGTCCTTCCATTTCGTGAGGTGAAATGCAAAAACGTGAGGGCGATGGTCGGGATGGACTGATTTTTATCACGCCTAGGCTATTAAGTCTATAAGCTTTCTCCAGTAAAATGACCTCCGAAGATGTATAATTGCCCGTTAGACATTTTGAGATTGCTTTCGCCCAAGTTGGATCCTCTAATGAATTCCGCCTTGAGCCCGGTGAAAAAACATTGAATCTTGTCCCGGGGCTTCAGTTTTCTCTTTCATTGTAATGCTTGGCACGATACGTGCGTTACTGAAAATATTATAGCATCGTGTTCAAAGGTGACATTTATTTCCGCCCTGACGCCGTCCGTTTATAATTCGTTATACACTGCCACATGCAGGCTGGTCCTGCCCTCATTTTCATCATTTCATGAGTGGAAGTTTTTCTCTCCTGTAAAGCATGCCCAATCATATTTTGAATCCTGGTGTGGATTTTTTTACTACTCGCTCATCATTTTCTGGCAGACTACTTTTTCAGGAACTATGAATAGCAAATTGTACAGGTTCTGCCAACCTCGTCTAAAATTCATATGGACATTTATTTTTTCTTGCTTTGAAGGGACTCCGATAGGTCTTTCGTAAAATCATTTAATTAATTTTATTTAATTGCTGTGAGTATGATTTTCAATGGGGGTTCCAAGATTAACGTTCACCAAGGCAAATGTATGAAAATGTCATTTTTCGCACCAATTCCTCTTCACGGAATGGTGTCTGATGAGGTAAATATTTATATATGATGTTTGGAATCAAGAGGGTCTGCAATCTAGAAAGCGCACTATGACCCTGCACTAGGAAGCCTGTACCTGACTTCCTAGTATCGAGAGCCTGACTGAATGCCTGTACTAACCCCATCGCAGACTGAGGACCTATACATTCTCAGCTTGCTTAAGTCTTTTTCCAAAGCACATGGCCAAATTATGACGGAAGGGACCATGGTGAAGTCTAAGAGGTCGTTCCCGTATTGATTTTAATCCTGAAAATATTAATGGTCGACATTTTCGTAAAAAAGATAATATCCGATACGCCACTGGAATGCGTATAAATAATCGTACAGGTAACTAACTTGACTTCATTGCTTTCGGTGCCTGGGATGAAAGAGGATGCATTGGACGACTTTCTGAAATCCCAATATCTATGCACGTTGTTCGTAAGGGAACAAATGGTGGGGTTAACCGTTGGGTTTTTAGAAAACGTCCTGTCCATCCCAGCTCCCCGAAAGCAAATTACGAAAAGTAGCTTTCTCTCGTGACTTGTTCTTCGTATCGTTCAGTGCAAACGGCGGGTCCGCGTTTTGTATACAGCAAAATACTTACACCATTGTAAGTTAACTGTGCAAAAATAAAGCTGATCGCACTTTCAGATTGGGTAACGGAACACCATCCACTGGGAGAGACGTAGAGTTGGCATGGACAACTCAGGGAAGTCGATACTGGGACGTCTGAGAAGTCCCAACTTTTAAGAGGACCTTTTTTGAAACTGGGTGTTTCCAGATGTTTAAATATTTGTCATTTATGGGTCCGAAATCTATTTGCCGAAGCCCGTATATTCCATTACATTCATTCCTTTCATAGAGTAAAAGTGAATACCCCTCGAGATATTGATTTCTTAAAAGTTTGTTATTCAGTCCGAAAGTGCATACAATTATTATGGAACGGAAAATGACGATGACCTTTGTACATTAAGCCTTTATCAAATTTTGATTTAACAAATGGCCATACGCCGGGGCTTTTAAAGGGTGTGTGCATCTGCGCCTTACAATCACGCCTTTTCCAGCTGTGTGTGCGTCAATGTACATTGCTTTTGTCCACAGCCCTAGTTACTCCCGTAATATTTACTTTCTGCAGTAGATTGATATTCACTTATTTAATCATAACTACACTATTATAGATATCTGTAATGTCGTAGAATTTTACATTTAGGCATTAATGCCTTTTCCCCTGGCAGGAAAGACTTTCAGAACCACCTACGTTCATTCCCTAAATTAACGAGGAAGGCAGCTGCTCATAGGTAATCATTTCTTGCCAACAGTGACAGCCCGCAACCAATACCCCATAAGATACTAACCCGCAGGCCAAGCAATGCATTTATAAATACATTGAAATTAAAGTCGGAAATGAGTCCTGCGCTGCGCGGCAAATTGTGAAATACCCACTTTGTGTTCATTTTCTTCTAATGACTACGAAGTCTACATTCGCTCTCAGCCCTTATCTGTACCCGTACGCACTCGGACAAGGGACGCACCTTGCCAACTTTCGTTTGAACCAACATTCTTAACTTATTTAAGTAGCGCTCGTTCTGGTGCAACGCGGACAATTACGGAGCCCTCAATGGCTGCAACCTTGCGGATATCGCGCTTGACATGCGACTAACCAGTATGCCATTTAAGCCAGTGTATTCACAGTCCAATGCATGTTCACAGCTACCCACATTAAGTGAGATTTTGTTAATCATCTGACGTCCAAAGCCAAGGTGGATGTACTGTCCCTGTCGCTGGAG